AGATGAAAGGAAGACTAGGGCCATCCTATCCTTTCCTGGGGACACAGACCGTGCCCGAGGAGCCATGCTGGGCCCTGTCTTTGTGGCTTTCAAGTGCTGGGAATTGAACCCAGGGCCTCATCCATGTCAAGCAAACACTACCACTGAGCTGCATCCCCAGCCCTACTCTTGTGCTTTCTTTTTATTGAGGAAGTAAAGCAGGTAGTCAGACGGCCTACAATGGAGTCTCAACTCTGCATGAGACTAGCTTTATAAACTTGAGTGAGTTATTTAACCTGCCTTCCTGCCTCCTTTGCGTGGAAGTGAAAATTAAAGAGTCAAGTTTGGTCAGCAGAGAGAGCAGAACTTCTCTCTCAGCTTTGAGGTTGCATTTGATGGGCAGCTGTTTACTTTCACAGACCCAAGTTCCTCAATCTTTAACTTTCAGGGAAAAAATGCCTCCTGGGAAGAAAGTGCTTGCAAGACTTCAAGATTGCAACTCTTTCGGTTCCTGGGACTTCGGACGGCCTGTCTGTCTCCAAACACCGACAGCTTTTACTGATAACCTCCTCCCAATTTCCCCTAGTGCCTAATTGCGTCGCTTCCATATGAACAGCCCCCGCCCCCATCAATCTAATATGATCAGAACAACTTGTGTAGCTAACAGGACCAACAGAAAATTCTTCAGGGAAAGTTACTTCATTCACTCTGTTGTTCTCCTTTTCCCTTTAAAAGTGCCTGGATGGAGGAACACTTGCTTGATTTCTAACTGGATCTGTGTGTGCCGATTTGCAAGTTTCCACACCCAAATAGCAACTGTCTGTTTTCATTTCAGCCTTATTTATGATTTCTTGGCTTACATTTTGTAAAGTGGTAATACCGATCCCCAGGGCTGTCGGAGGGAGGAGTCAGTGGGAAATGTTAATTAAAGTGCTGTCAGAGGCGTCTGGCTCCTAGACATGCCATAGAAATGTGTTGTCCTTGCCGGTGGTGCTGGTGCTGATGTGAGTGTTCACGTGACGAAATAGCTGTCATAAACAGGTCAAAGGTGAGAGGTCTCTCTGCCTGGTTTCCGAGGTTTCAGCCCATGGTCAGCTGGCTCTCTTGCAGAAGGGTGTGGGCGAAGGAAAGCTGCTCACCGCAAGGCAGCCAGGAAGCAGAGAGAAAAGGAAAGGGGCTGGGGCCGGGTATAGTTCTCAGAGTCACACTGTGTGACCACTCGTGGTTCTCTCACTTCTTAATAATGCTATCAAATTATGATCTCCTCAGGGGATCAATCCAGCGGAGAGCCGGCCGCCCTATGCTCCAGTCCCTTCACAGAAGTCCATCAGCATCCAAGCCTTTAACACAAGGAGCCTTCTGGGGGACGTCTCGGTTCCTAACCATCACAGGTACCATCGTCAGCATTCTCGGGAGACTGTGAGTGTCTCAAAGGCGTGATCAGAATGGTGACAGGTACTGCGTTAGAGAGGCTGGGAAAATAGTGAATCGATAACCCTTTCCCTCTCCTCCCTGCCCCAAATGCACACCCACTCCTTTGATGAAGGTAGATTTGCTTCACACTTTTGGCTTCTTACCTAAGTTGGAACACTCAGATTTATACTCTTCTTGGTCTCTATCAGTAAACTTTAGAGGTCATCTAGTCCAGAGCCTTTATTTTATTTTATTTATTTTTTGGTACTGGGGATCTAACTCAACTCAGGTCCTTGTGCTTGGGAGGCAGGCGGCGGTACCACTGAGCTAAATCCCCAGCCCTCATTTTAGGTATAGTTAAAGTCAAATAGAAGAAATCAAGGTCTTGATTCAGCAATTCCATTTCTAGTTACATATGTTAAGGAATTAAAGTCACTATGTTAAAAAGATAGCTGCACTCCCAGGCCCATTGCAGTGCTGTTCAGAATAGCCGAGATAAACAGAATCCAACTAAGTGTCCATCAGTTAGTGAATGGGGGAAGAAATTATTATGTTATACCCACACGATGGAGCTTTCCAATCTAGACTTGGAAAAGGAGAAGTCCCGTCATTTGTGATAATGTGGACGAATCTAGAAAGCATTATTTTAAGTGAAACTAGCCAGGCGTAGGAAGAGAAATACTGCACAAACTATTCATATGTGGAATCTAAAAAAAAAAGCTGATGTTATAGAAGTAGAGGGCAGAATGGTTACTACCAGACTGGAGGAAGAGGGTGGTTGGAGGTCAAAAATAGGAAGTTTCAACTGGGTGTGGTGGCGCACGCCTGTAATCCCAGCACTCGGGAGGCTGAGGCAGGAGGATCACTGTGAGTTCAAGACCAGTCTGGGCTACATAGTGGGTTCCAGGTCAGTCTCAACTACATAGTGAGACCCTGTCTCAAAAATAAACAAACAAACAAACAAAAAAACAACAAAAAAGATATGAAGTTTCAGTTTGACAGGGTAAGCTTTAGTGACCTATTGTGCAGAATAGCGACGGTAATAAAAAAGTCATTGCATAACTCGAAATTGTTCACAGAACAGATTTTAAATATTTTCATTACACAGAAGTAAGTACAAGGCAATGAATCATTCCATATTATAAACATTACACTGTACCCCACAGATACGTACAAATTTTTGTCAATGAAAAATAGAATGGAATTAACTCACTGAAAGAAGCCAAGAAAAGAAAAACTAAAAAGAGAGAAAGAAGCCAAGATTTTTACAGCATGCCCTATGCTCTTTCACTCCCCGCCGGTCTCCTTCCCTGCCTTGTTGGAATCTTTCAAAATCCAGCCCAAATCCCACTCCAGGTCCTCCAGGTGGAGGTCTCCTCTTTCTCCAGGTCTACACCACAGTGTGTCACACTGCTCGTTAGTCTTCTTTGTACTAGAGTCCCCTGTCCATGCCTCTGTCTCCACCCCACAGGGCTGAGGAGCAGGGAGATTATTTGCTGTAGGGCCTCACTCCACCCATGCACAGTGCTTTGGAAATGCTCACCACATCTGTTACAAAGTCACATGGGCCATTTATCCTAGAAGAAAGAAGATCTGAGAGGAGTGGAACAGACTGCCATGGTGATAAAGGGTTAGATTTAGATCGGTAGCTGGAGAGAGCTCAATGAGGCCCAGGGCCTAGCAGTTGCCAGGGGCAGATGTGCTCAGGCATTGGGGACAAGACCTTTAGGATGACAACCATCTAGCCACCGGGGCACTTCCTGAGAGCTGAGTTACAGCCTTCAGCAGGGGCGTCATGCAATGGAGAGGGACACAGGACGCACCTTGAGACTCCTGCTCTTAGCTGGGTTTCAACACCACTGAGGATCTTGGTGACATTTACAGTTCCCATGTGGTCACAGACATAGCAGGGCCTGGGATGTCTGGGGGCATGGATCTGGCAAGGTTAAGACATGGCCCAACGCTATCCGGGTGGACCTGGTTGTCGCACAGGGTCATTCTGGTCAGTCTAGCTTTCAGAGACTCTGCTCCTCTAAAAGCTGCCCCTTTCCCCTAATTGCTCCATCCTTTGTGCTATCTCTTTGTATGCCCTTCCCCGCTTCTCACTGCTGTCTGGTGAGCCCAGAGCTCAATTTCATGCTAAATTTACTATTGAGATAGTCCAAGTTTCAGCTGAGAGAACTTGGGATATGGCACACACCTGTGACCCTAGGCTAAGGCAGGAGGATCTCAACTTCATGGCCTGGATGACTTAGAAATAAAACAGAAAATAGAATGAGAGCTAGAGATGTAGCTCAGTAGTACAGGGCTTGTTTACCATGCGCGAGGCCCTGGATTCAACCCAGTACTGGTAAATCTCTCAGCCTGGCTTCAGATTTTAGAGAATGGGTAAGAGTTAATTCTTTTTTTTTTTTTTTTTTTTTTTTTTTGTACTGGGGATCAAATTTAGGACCTTGTGCTGGCTAGGCAGGCACGGCACCACTGAGCTAAATCCCCAGCAAGAGTTAATTCTTACCAAGCGCTTTTGCAGAAAATTATAAAATCTGTCTTTTCTAGGCACTTAGCCTTGGCTATGGTCAACTTTCTTCGAAATGCTCCATTCCATTCTCGATTTGTAGGTCCACCTATTCTTGTACTATCTGTGTCCTAGATGTACAGCCATCCCTCACTATCTGCAGGGCATTGTTCTAGGACCCTCATGGACGCTGAAATGTTTGGAGCTTCAAGTCTATTTGATAAAATAGCGGAGTATTTTGCACGTAGCTGACACACATCCTCCTGTATACCTAACACCATCTCCAGCTTACCTGTGACACCCGACAGAGTGCCCATGCTATGTAAATAGCTGCCAGGTTGTGTCATGTGGAGAACAATGTTAAGGGAACGCATCTGTACACGTTCCGCGCAGATACAGTGTTTCTCCTTGGGTACTTTTGACTGATAGTTGGCTGAATTTCTGGATACAGAAATCATGACAGGGCACTGACTTTACTCCTCCTAAAAGTTTTGGGTGAAAACCTTTGTTTCCATGACCGTTCACCAGCAAACACGTACCACTTGGGCTTTGCTATTAGGAGCCTCTTTCGAACTCCTTTCCAGGATTCACCCCGCCCCCAGCCTCCCAAACGAAGGTGCTGACCGTGGCCTCCTCATGAACACGCCACCCCAAGTGCGTCTGGTTCTCTCCCCAACATTGTTTTGCCTCCCACCCGGGACATCCCTCTCATCTGGCCTCATTCTGAAGGTTCTTGCTTGGGGAGGTCAGTAGAATATCTACCATACATCAGCCCGGTGGAACGCACTGTTCCCAGATGCTCCCCACTCACAGCATCCCATGTTAGGCAATATCAGTCTTACGAGTGGGTTCTATTTGAAAACTTGACTCACAACAGACTTACTTAGAACTCGCATTTTTCCCTTTGTGGTGATGTTCTTCATGGTGGTTAGTTTTGCCCCTATAACCTGTAGGTCCAAAGGAAGCACTGGAGCTGGAGAACCTCTAGAAGTAATAATAGCTGGGCCGAAGAGGGTCACAGCCAGAACAGTGTTTCCATGGTGAGATGTCTTCAGAGTTCTGACTTGGAACCCTGGGACCCCTTTAAGCCTTCAGTGAGATTGAACACCCCCCACAACACATTAAAATGTACAAATCCATATTTTTAAGGGATTGCTATAGACCAGGCAGTGTAAAATCATTGTGAGTTTTGTCATTTCATCTCCCCATTAAGACTTTGAGGTTAGAGGGCGTGTTGGTTGCACAGGCCTGTAAGTCAACTAGAAATATCTTTACAAAAAGAATGAAGTATATGTTTTTGATTTCCTTCTATTAAACCCAGTGCTCTGGGAGGCTGAGGCAGGAAGATGGCAAGTTTGAACCCAGCCTGGGTGACTGAGTGATTTAGTGAGATCCTATCTCAAAATTGTAAAAAACACTATGAGGTGCCAACTACTGCAAGCCACATTTTACAGACAGGGAAATCAAGGCTAAAGGAGTCAGTCTTACAGACTTTGCACAGGGATTCTAGTAAAGCCAAGTCGTGGGAAAGGAACCAGGATTCTAGAGGATGGAAGGGGTGAGCAGAGAGTCAACAGATGAAATAAAGATTGGGGCAGGGCTGGGAAGGTGGAGGCAGTGGGCAGTGGGCGGGTCAGAGGCCTCGCAGCTCGGGATAGGGAATTTGTCTTTGGGTTCCCTTCCCTTGTGTCCTGGCTTTGGCCTAAGGACTTTCAGGTCCTGTCGTTCAGACCTCGAAACAGTGGGCAGCAGCCTTCACGTGGACGAGGCAGGGAGGAGGAGTGAAGGTAAGAAGGAAACGTGGTGGTGGTCGAGGCCCGTGTGGTAGGGATGATCGTGGCTCTAGCTTCTCACCTGCATCTGGGCTTGGCCCCGTGCGGCTCTGCAGTCCACCCCAGCCTTGGGCGGAAGACCTGCCCTGTCTCCCGATTCTGGTTTTGGCCGTATGACCTGCTGTGGCCGTCACAATGTAAGAGCCGGTCCCCAAGCCCCAGGCTCCAGAGGCATTTGTCCACCGCAGCCTACTTTCTTGTGCACCTGTGCCATGGCCTGGAGAACAGGCCGAGGGAAGGCTGCGAGGAGGAGAGGGCCAAGGGGCGGCGTCAGGTCCTCCAGGGACCCAGCAGAACCCGGACAGGAAAAGTGTCCCCAGGGGCGGGGCAAACTTCGGCAGCGCCCTACACGTTTAGGAAAAGTAAATTTACTTTTGTTTGCCTTGAATTATTTTTAAAAGTAAGTTTCTTTATGGATTTTCTTTCTTTCCTTCTTTTCTTTCCATTTCACATGCAATTGTAAGAAATACCGGAGATCCCAGTTTTTCTCAATGGTGACAGCACAGAACTGCAGGCGGGATCATCACACCAACAAGGGCGAAGTCAGGTCCCAGTATTTTCGCTGCTATAAGAATCCTTCCTGTTGCCGTTCTGTAGCCACCGCCCCTTAATTTATGGCTCCCGGTAATCGAGCCTTCGAGGTCGCCGCTTCCCAGTGTAACTCTCTGGAGGTTCATCTAGTTACTGCATTTGCCAAGGACGAGTTCCCTTTTAGTGCTGAATAATACAGCAAAAGTCCCTGACTTAGGGACACTCCAGTTGTGAGCTTTCACAGAAAGGAGGGGACCTCACGTTTGTTTTTTTAATGCTTTATGTTTGTGTCAGAGGTGTATTAAGACTCACTTTGGTGGACTTATGAACAAATTGAACTTATGAACATTCTCCTGGGACGGAGCTCATTCCTAAATTGAGGACTTACGGCATTGCACAGGGTAAAGTGCTGCACTTTTTTAGACACGCACGGGAGGCCGTCTGCATTGTTTTCAGATTGTTTGTTCAGTTTGTTAAGAACGAATAAAGCTGCTATAAACATCTAGCTACACATTTTTGTTCGAATCCGTTTTCATTTCCAAGTGATAAATGCCCAAGGATTTAGTTGCCTGGACCCCTCTCAATTGCAAGCTTAGTGTTTTTTTGTTTTGGTACCACAAAAAACATATGTGAACTTGCTATGTAGCCCAGACTGACCATGAATGCATGATCCTCCTGCCTCAGCCTCCCCAGTGCTGAGATTTTAGGTGTGCACCACCTCACTTGGCTTCAAGTTTATCCCTCCCCTACCCCTGCTGTAGTCCTGAATTTTGAACCCTGGCCTTCATACTGAGCTACAATCCAGGTCTTTCCTTTCTTTTTTATTTTGAGTCAGGGTCTCATTAAATTACCATGATTAGCCTGAATTTGCAATCTTCCTGCGTCAGCCTCCATAAAAGCTGATATTACAGCTGTGTACAACCACATCTTGTGAACTTTAGCTTTTTTTAAAAAGTAATTTCCAAGTTCTGCAATTTTACATTCCCAACAGCAGTGTACAAGTGACCATGACCCTACTCAGTCATGATGTTTAATAATTTTGCTAAATTTACTTGCCAATATTTTGCCCAGGAGTTTTATTAATTTATTTTTATTTTTTTGGTACCAGAGATTGAACTCAGGACCTTGCACTTGCAAAGCAGGTGGCGGAACCACTGAGCAAAATCCCTGGCCCGCTCAGGAGTTTTATATTTAAAAGTCAAGAGAATGTGGAGCTGTAGTTTTCTTTTTTATAGTTTCTGCCTTTGTCTAGTCTTGGGGTAAATAGAATAAATTGCAAAGGTGCCATGATCTGAATGTTTGTGCTCACCCCACCCCACTGAAGTTTATGCTGAATTTAGTCTCTGTTTCTGCAGTAACAAGGGAGATGTTTTGGAAAGTGATAGAATTAGGAGGGCTCTGCTTTCGTCAGCAGATTAATGCCTTTTAAAGGGCCTGGGGGGAACCAGGTAGGCGGTTTCCCTTTTTCCCCTCTACCCTCTGTCCTGTGAGGATGTGGCCTTCATTCCCTCAGGTAGATGCAGCAACAGGCATTGTCTCTTTTTTTTGGTACCAGGGATCGAACTCAGGAGCTTGCACTTGCGAGGCAGGTGTGGTGCCGCTGAGCTAAATCCCTGGCAGCTACTTTCTCATTGTTGAGACACAGTACCTGACCCCCACACCTTCAGGAGGAGTTTATTTTGGCTCAGAGTTTGTAGAGGCTTCAGTCCCCAGGCAGGGGTTCCAGGGTGTGGTGGCACAGCAGAGGGGCCTGGCAGAGGACAGCTGCTCGTGACAGGGCTGCAGGAAGCAGAGGCCCAGAGACAGAGAGAGACGGGGGAGCCGGCAAGAGATAAAGCCTTCCAGGCCACACCCCAATGACCCCCTCTTCCCACCAGGTCCTGCCTCCTCACAGCAAGTGCCCTGTGAACTCATCAGGTGCCCACTCACACCCTTCCCGTCACCCCCAAAGCCCAGCTTGTGAGCACACATGGAACTACGAACCACAGCCACCCCGTCAGGCTCCCGGCCTGCTGGTGCTTTGATCCTGCACTTCCCAGCTTCCAGAGTGAGGAGACATATACCTAAACCAATTCTATATCTCAGGCGTTGTTGTTATAGCAGCATAAATGGAAAAGCAGCGCTCTCTCTGCTATAATCTTTTGAGATTGTGTAGGATCAGCATAAATTCTTCCACATTTGGTATACTTGTGTAGTGAAGCTCTTTAGGCCTGGAGATTTCTTTATTGGGGGTTTAAAAAGTTATGAACTAATCTTCATAGTTGTAGGGTTGTTCAAATGACCAGTTTCAGGGGCTCAAGGTGCAGTGCAGTGGTAAAGAGTTGGACCAGTATGTGCAAGGACTCAGGCTCAGTCTCCCTACCACAAAGCAGACATCATCTATTTCCTATGGGGGACTTTGGTAGGTCTTTGCTTGTTTTTTTTTTTTTTTTTAGTATCAGAGTTCGAACGTGGGTCCTTGTGCTTGCAAGGCAGGCAGTGATACCACCGAGCTAAACCCTGACCCTTTGTTTTTGTTTTAAGAAATAGCCCATTTCATTGAAGTTGTCAAATTTATATGTGTAACATTATTGTAGTGTTCCTTTTTAAATCTTTATTAAGTTTATTGGTACATTTTAGGTATGCAGTACAGTTATATTCATCATTGGGATCTTGAACCTTTACATGACACATCTTGGTTTTTATTTTTTCCCATTTCCCAGCCCTCTCTTCAGCCCTCCCCTTTCCCTGTTTATAAAGACCATTGTTTCCATGCTTTTCCTTTTCACATATTTTTTCTTTTCCCTTTTTACCTTTCCCCTGCCCCTCCCACTTCCTCTACTCTTTTAGACTTTTTCTTCCTATTATACAATATCAACTATACATTTTGATCCTAATTTACACTTTTAGTTTTTCACACCAGAGAAACTATACAGTATTTATACATGTGTGACTTATTAATTTCACTAAGAGTATGGCCACTTAGTCATAAATATCTCTAGTTTGTCATTCTTTATGGCTGAGTAGTATTCCTTTATTAATCCTTTGATGTCTTCTGGATCTGTAATGGCAACCCCTGTGTCATTCCCAATATTAGCAAATTGTGTCCTCCTTTTTCTTAGTCTTACCAGTTTATTCATTTTTAAAGAGACGGGTCTTTTGATTTTCTTTGCTGATTTTCTGTTTTCAGTTTCATTGATTTTTGCTCTTAAAATTTCTATTCTTACATTTGCTTTGAGACTATTTTGCTCTGCTTTTCTAAGCTTTTGTGGGGGAAGCTTAGATTACTGATATGTTTTTCTCTTTTCTAATGTATGCATTTAGTCAAGAATTTTTTTCCTCTCAGCACTGCTTTAGTTTTATCCCATGAATTTTTGTTATTTTTTCATTTTCATTCTGTTCAGTATAATTTTTTTTTTTGGTACTGGGGATGGAACTCAGGTCCTTGCGCTTGCAAGGCAGGTGCTAGAACCACTGAGCTAAATCCTTGGCTCAGTATAATTTTTACTTAAACTGAGACCGACGAATCATTTAGAAGTATATTGTTGGATGTTCAATTGTTTGGAAATTTTTCTGTTTAAATTATTTGTTTACATTGACACATACTTGTACAAATTTGTAGGGCACATGATGTTGTTTTGATACCTGTCACCATTGTGTAATTGTCAAGTCAGAGTAATTAACATATCTATTGCTTCCAACATTTATCATTTTTTTTGTAGTGAAACATTCAAAACCTTGTAGTTATCTGAAGTAACTATTTGTTTTCTAGAGTCACCCTATTGGGCAAAACTTAGATAAGGAAGTGTAATCACAGTCATAACTGGGTTCACAATGAAAGCATCTTTAACAGCTGAAGTACTGTATTTTTGTAACAAATGGCTGGGTTTCAGCCAATCCCAGGCCCCCAGTGGCTCAGACCATGTCCAACCAGGGCAAAGGCCTCACCATAACTAATCAAGTCACTTCTGTACTTTATTTCCATGTGCAGCTGTAGAATCACACTGCTCTCGCTACACAGTGGAGCGCTCTGAATCCCTTTCCATTTCAAGTGCTGCTCAGTTCATGAATTGTTCTTCACTCAAACTATTAGATTCATCTAATGTTTTTCTCTTAACACGTACTGTAGTACCAGAAATACAAAACGTTCTTGTTTATAGAATTATCAAGTATGAATTGCGTGTTTCATTTTAGGTCATTTATTTCACTGTTCCTTGTTTTTAGTTGCTGAACTGTTTAAAACTTCAGTCTTGCCCTTTTCTGCCTTCTGAATTAGGAAGCTTCAAGTTTTCCATAGTGACTTCACAGGGGATATTAATTCTGATCTGAACTGTCTTGGGGCCTCTCTTCTGAATTATCCTCTTCTTTTGAATCTGCCTGATTCATCACAAATAAGGCTACATCCACTTGTATCTCTTGCCAAGAGTCCTGTCAATATTTTTAGTACTGAAATGAGGAGCAGTTTCCGTTTCTTAGCTTCTCATTAGCCTGGGCCGTCTGTTGGAGAAAGTTCTGAACTTGTCTAGTAGTGGACTTCTCTCTGTCCAAACTGTATGAAGAGTAGAGGTTTTTCTGGAATTAGGTACAGAGTCGATGAGTAACTTGTCTCTTATCCCTCCTTGGATGTCGCCTTCAGTCAGTAGCTCTTTGGACACTAATACCCCAAGCACTCCCAGGTGGTCAGCGCAGAACTTGGGCTGGCGTGAGACTCACCACGGACTTCATGTCTCTGCTCCTAGCACGTGGGAAAGGCCATCATCACCCAGCTTTTAATTTCAATTTATAAATTTGGTTTTAATTTCTAGTTTGATCAGGGAGCTCAGTGATTTGAATTCTTTTAAATTTCTTGAGGTTTATTTTATAATCCAAGAGATAGCCTATTTTGGTATGTTCAGTAGGCACGCAAATGTGTATAAGAATGTATATGCAGTTGTTGGATCAAGTGTTATAGAAATATCATTTAGGTTCTATTGATAATGTTGAGTTTTTTACATACTTGCTGATGTTTGGTCTGTTTGTTTCATCAACTGTTCTGAGAGAAGTGTTGATGTTTTGAACTACAATTATGGATTTATCCATTTCTCCTGTCAGTTCTCTCAGTTTTTGCTTTCTATATATATTTAAATGTCTGT